AGAGGTATTATCCTGTTAACACCGGCAGCGGCTGTCCTCAGCTCCTCGAACAGTTTAGCTGACATAATTGTTATGTCTGCCCCACCGTCCAGAAGTGCTTCGTGTGTGAGGACACCTTCGAGTGTTACCGACAGGTACGCCTTTTTGGCGACCCCCCTTCTGATAAAGTTACACAGAAACCTCTTGGGTTTTTTCTGACGCTTCTTCACACGTTCAGCTTTGTCTGTGTAATCTTGGTTTGTCTGAACCGTCAGCACAGCAGTAGCTCTTTCTGAGTGTTCAGCTTGCGATGACTCGTCATCGGTTGCGTGTGTGTTTACCCCCCCTTCTTCCGATGAGGGGTTGTTTGAGGCAACAACAGCCATGTCTTGGTGTGTTCCACCGACATCTGTAATGTTGTCATTCGTGCCCTCAGATGTAATAGTGATTACATTACTGCATAGTGCTCCTGGTTGGGTTCCCGTGTCAGTGTGTTTCAAAGTTTCTAACAACCTGCGTATTTTCTCTGTCTCTTCCGAGCTCAGAGGTGTAGGGCCTTGTTTCTGGGACTTTTGTGATTTTTTCGCCTCGGTTCGTTTCGTCCGAGGTGAGGGACGGTCAGGTACGTCTTTTGGGGGTTCCTTTTCGTACTTACCCTGATTATATGGGTCCTCTCGGTTCCCATATCTTTGCGTCCTACGCCCACCCCTTTTTCGATAATCACGTTCATCCTCTGAAAGAGGAGCTTTTTTGTCCCAGCGTGCACCTTCAAGACGCGGTTTGTTAGTTTGAACAGACTGTTTTTTCTCACCTTTTCTAGGAGGAGGCGGCGAGGCACGCCGTCCTTCCAGTTCAAGATAGAGGGGTTTAACCTTTACACCAGGAAACACTTCTATGGGCGTCTTAGCATGAGAACATGCCTCGAACACATTCACAGCACACTGTTTAATCTCACTGATGGATTTTTCTCTGAAATTTGCCATCATTTGTACTGATCGTTTAAAATCAGTGTGGAGATTTTTGCTGAAAACAAACTTGAAACCTTCGTCTTCCTCCATACCGGTTTCATTTCTGTTACCAAAATAAGCTTGGAAGATTCTTTTGTAATAAACTTTTGGATGTTCAGTTTTGCCCTGCGTGACCTTGTCTGCGGCTGGGAAACCAGCAGGTCCTGTGCAGGAGTCGTACTCTCTGATCAAAGCTTCACACAGAAGGTTGTAATCCCTTTTCGTTGCATCAGGTAGACGCTCGATGAAGGTGAACACCTCTCTGTCTGAAGTGAGCCTTATCAGACTGATCTTATCCTCAACCGTAGCATTAGGATAACCTCTCAATCTGAATTCAAGATCTCTGAGGTACGCTTTTGTTCCAGATGAACCCATCGGTCCAGGTACAAAGCGTTGCACATATTTTGAGATTTTTTGCAAATCATCCATTGAAGGAGACAGTATCAACGGTCTCACTTGCGTGGTTGGTAGTGCAAATTGGTGTAGGTCTGCCCCTACCACCCGAGATGGGGGTGGGGGTGACAGAATGGGATTAAGAGTAGGAGGTGCAACAACATCTTTCTGGGGTGGTTGTGGGTGACCCGGACCCTGACCTTGTTCGTCTTCGAGTCCCAGACCAGCTCGCCCCACGTCAGAAATCTTGTTTGTTGCTGCGGCTAGATTCTCCTCACAAGCTTTCAGGCGTTCCTGTGATGTTTCACATTCACCTTGTAAACGCACACATTGTTGAAGTAATCCCGCCTTTACCAGTTTGCATTCCTCCAGCTCCTTTGATGCGATCTGCAACTGTCGTTGTAGCGCACAGTTGTTTGAACACGCAGCTCGGTAGTCACGGTCTTTATCCCTAATCTTCTCCTCAAATGATTGAGCCTGTAATGACAGCTCAGTTTGTGAGAGCTCAC